AGGAATGACAGCAAAACCAGTCGCTGGTTCCCTTTCATCAAGAGATTTACTAGTTGTAACTGGATTTTGGCAGTTACGGAGAAAGGTTTTGTATAGCCATTTGCTTTTAGGACATTATTAGCATATTTCCTCTCCTCAGCCTTTGAATCGAGTGAAGATGGTAGACAGTCAGCCCTCCTGAGTAAGGTTTTGGCTACAGACTTTTTTATGGCAAATAGAGTGGAAAGCGAGGTATTTGTCGGTAGTGGTAGGTTTATGGTAGACACTTGTCTCTAAATTACCCTGAACCCCTCTGGACACATTTAAATCAAGAAAGGGAAAATGTCTATCTTTTTTCACGCTCTAGGGTGAATTGGATCGACGGCTCTACTGAATTAAAATGCGATAGGAGGTTCTCCGCTTCATTTCCGGATACCGCAGAAAAAATTTTAATCGACATATCGTTTATTTCATTCATTTCCTATTTCGGTATTGCGGAATTTATGGTCGTTATTTGGGCATTTTTCACTGGCAAAGCTGAGTACATAACTACAGCAAAAGTTGTTGCGCAGTAGATACCACAACTGTAGAACACTGAAGTGAAGACAATCGTACTAAGCCATGCCGAATCATTTCAACCTGGAGGAGTGCGAAAGATTCCTCCACGACGAAAACCAGTTTAGTCCAGGAGCGTCGAAACGCATCGAAAAATACCTTCAAATTTCTCGAGAAGGCCTGGACGAGTTTTTGATTCGTTTCCCAGAGATGATTCGAAACGAAGATCAGTTGTTTTACATCGTGCGATTTATGAGGGCGCATCACAAGTTCGACACGCAAGATCACGAAAGAATTTTCAACAGTAACCTGTTTACAACTATGGAGAGAAAAGTGACGGAGCTACTCGCTGTTGTGGAGCAAAAAGACCCCCACACGTATTGGTATTTGATACATGCCCTGCAGTCAAAACATTCCTCTTTGTATGAGCATCTCCACGGATCTATAAAATGTTGTGGTACGTAGAAGATTTGTGATTGCAGGCCGAGTTTGAACGTTTATCATTTGGTGAGATATTGTGGTCCCGAAATTCATGATTCCTTTACCTTCGCAATGAATAATTTTACTTCGAAATATTGACGTCATGGGCAATTTGTAATGCACGACTTACATGATTCTTGTTATATTTGTTGTTATCTTCGACAATTACGATATTTTGGGGTCTTGCTCTATATCATGTTATCCAGTTCTCTGTTTTCGAAATTTTTCCTTCTAATTCTCTTCTGAATGCAGATTAATTATCGGTTATAAATTGCCTATCTTTAGCGCGCAACAAAATTAACATCAGTCTGTTGACCAATATACATAAGTAACGACAAGTGCATGTGTTGTTCCATATTTACGTACGGGCAATGGTTGCATTTTAGAACGTCAACGAACTCTGAATCAAATAATGAATTTTGTAGTTGGATATCCAAGAAGATAACTATTTTTCAGTACGAAAGGGACAACAGTTCTGAGAGAGGTTGTTTTGGTATAGAGGCCAACTTTGCTATAATGGAAATTAAAACGGGGAATAAATGACTATGACATTGACACCCACTTTTGTCATTTCAAGTCATGTTCATGTCCAACTTTGTTATTTGTTTTCTCATTTCCAACGCGTAAGGACAGCGTTTTAAATTATGAAAGATGTAAGAATAGCAAAGAACTATTGTTCAGAAGATGTTATTTGTTTTTGACAACCGCAAAACGAAATTAATGGCTGAACGGTAGAAAGTATGTTTTTGATATCGATATTGGCACATCACCGATAAGTTAATTATTCAGAAAAACCCCCTTCGAACTCACCTAAGATTACAACATCGGTGAAAATAGAAATAACACGTGATTGACACTTATTGAGCAAGTCCAAATTACAGGCCCTGGCAGACGGAAAGAACAGCTAAGTTGTTCCAAATTAAAACTGCAGTTCCTGACTGATTCTGAAGCCGAACGTTCATGCACTCAATCTGAGTTATTAGGTTGGCTCAGGATTAAGAGAAGACGAGTTTATGTTCTCTCGACTAAGTTTACGTTTTATTGATAGAAAAAGAGGCCTCTGCTGCTCGCAGTAAGAAAATTATATCTTTCTTTAGGGAAATTTTTGTTAAGTACCTCATCCCTAAGACAAGTAACACAGCTGTTTGAAAAGTTTCACTATTCTTTTGATTGCAGTGTGTAAAGATATAAAACATAGAGAGAAAGAGGAGGAGTTACATTTTTCAGGTGAGATGAGGATATGATTTTGTTTTACTTGAGTGTGAATGAGACAATAGTTTTGAAAGCCTGGATTAAGCGGAGAAAGGGCGGAATGGGGGAGAGGAAGAGGAAACAGGAAGTTGCTTTTGGTCAGTTTTATTTGTAATTGATAACATACTGCGTCTGGATAAATGCAAAATAAAATGCTTGCTTTTGCAGATTTGGAAAACGAAGGGAAAGTAGTAGTCCCCTTACTTAAAGCTTTGTGTGAAGCAATTGAGGACAAAGTCTCCACTGGAAGATCGTTTATCGAAAAGATGAGAACTGCGAGGCAAAGTGAGTTCCGTTAATTCTAGACGCAATATACTGTTACAAGTAGTTCATTAATTTAGTGAGAGAGTATACTTCGCACGTGGCTTCGGCGCCATTTTAATTGGAAGGGCACAACTATAATAATATAAGATAATAAAAGCAGCGTCGGATGCACTTCTGAATTCATGCAGTTTTGTGTTGTTACAACCACAGCATGAAATCGCAAATTTACGCATCTTTAACTCTTGCGTAAAGAACGTAAATGTAAAGCCTCTTCTTTACGGACAAGTTCCGCGTTCCGTAAAGATACGTAAATGCAGGGAAAGCGTAAAGACTGCGTAAAGGATAGTGAATGTTCGTTAAGGATAAGGAATAAGATGGATATAATTAACCACTTTCTATTTAGAGAAATACTCAAAGAAGTGAAATAATTATTGCTCATCCATCTTCCGTAGAATTACCGTGGTATTTTGACCAGTTTCGCTTTTAACACTTTACAGGTCTTTAATAGTAATAATAATAATACGGTCGCTGTAAAATATCGTAAATATTCTCTATACGACTTTTTACAAGGCACGTAAAGATAGCGTTTTTAGTCTCCCCGTGATCTTTACGCACTATCGTTTTCAATGCGTCAAGATAATCTTTACGAAAGTGTAAAGAAGTTCGTAAAGACGCGTAAAGAGGATCTTATCGCTTACTTTGCGGCATCTTTACAGATTCGTAAATTTATAATTTCATGCTGTGATAATATGCGTCATTGGCTTTGGAAGCTAGTGCATTTAATTGAATCGCACGCGGTTTGCCGCGTTTGGCGTCTCTCACGGGTGGCTCTTTTGATATTTCATTGGTTACGATTTGTAGTTGTATTAAGCTTTTGCGCAAATACTAAAACACATTCTATAAATCTTAATTGAGATTTTCTTGTTGTATCATTTTATTTTATAGGAAAGATCAAAGGTGAAGATTTAGTAACAAACCGCGCTACTTATCCTGTGGATGATGTTGTTGAGCCAGAGGATGAGGACTACATTGATACCGCGGAAGGTTGGTGAGGAGTAAATATCTCCTCAGTTGCTTATGTTGATTGTGTTATATTCATGCTACAAATGAAAAGCCTTGTTTTCCTCTTTTTTTTGTTAACCAGGTATTGGGATTCAGAGTAAAAGCTATTAAAAGCTCTCTCCCCTCCCCCCCTTACCGCCTTTATTAGCCTAGCATACTATCTAACTTGCGCTTTCCAATACTACAAATGCCTTTCAGGGTTATCAATGTTACCTGAAAATATAACATAGAGCCTGTTTTTCAGTACCTAAATCTTTCCCTCCCCCTCTCTCTCAACAGACTTTCCTCCACAGCACTCTCGCATCGTCGAATCTATTGAACCCAAGAAACTCGAAAAAGTGAAAGATATCTTGAATCCTACAAAAGACTGGACACCAGAGTTGGCAGAAGAGATGCTCCGCACTTGTACCAGGAGGAAGCGAGCCTACAAAGCTACTTTTTCATCGGCTTGTCAGCGATCACCCTCTTCATTTTCCATTCACTTCCGGCATTTGATTTTTTGTTCCTGTTTATTTACTGCAACTTTTTGATCATGGTTATAACCCTCTGACCAGAGCAAAACTCTACTGTTTTCAAAAACTTATTATAAAAATAATAATAGTAATAATTTCTTTACTTATATTGCGCCTGAAACTAATGAAAATGTTATATATAACCAAAATGTTAAGAACCTGGAAAAGACATTTGAATTTCCAGGTAGGCGCCACTACGGATCGTATGCATATACTACATGACGTTGTACGATGGCTACTCAAACAATAGTTCTGATGTTCATAGGAGTCCAAAGGGGATCTTGAAGATGATACGTAGTAGCAACCTGTAAGTGTCAAAACACAGTGGTCAGATGTGAGCGCATGTGTAAACATTTGATAAAGTTTAAAACAGAATGGTAGAAGGAAAACTCAATGTAAATATTCAGTAGCATTACTTTCAGCGTAATCACAGTAGAAAAATACAAGGAAAAGCTGTAATGATGAATAATGATTTACTGGAGTTTTGTTAGAGGTACTGCATCATGACCAAGAGATTCTAGTCCCTAGATCAAGACCTAGTGGTTAAGTTTAAAATAGAAATACCTTGTACCTTTCCTGAGTTTGAAGTACGGGGGGGGGGGTGAGTAGGAGGGGTTTGGAGAATTATATTTTTGTCACTCCATTGATAGTATTCTACCGATCCTTTCTTATTGTCAGTCATACTTTTCACTATCCACTTCCCACGGAGGAAGTATGAATTGCGTAGCCGTCAGTTCCAGGCCTCCTTTCCTTTTTTAACTCGTGAATTGCGCGCATGTGCAAGAGTGAGTTGTAGATATGGTGTGGAGAATGGCACTCTGTCGCTCGATTGGTCGTTTCCTGTAAACCTTTTTTCGATTTTAAGCTTTTTATATCCTTTTTTTTTAAACTCGTAAATTGCGCGCATTCCCAAGAGCAAGTTGTAGATATGATGTGGAGAATGGCACTCGCTCGCTCGCTCGATTGGTCGATTCCTGAAAACCTTTTTTTCAATTTTAGGCTTTTGAGTGCATTTGATAGTTTTTGGGAGTAATAAATAAACGAAATGGCGACTTCTATTGCTAAGAATAGTGGCGGGGTGAAAAAGAAGCCAATGATTATCTTAAAAGAGCTTTTTTTTTTTCGTTTTAGTTTCAGCAAGCGGCGCCAGCGACTGGCAGGCGCGCGAGGATGCACACTGAAATAAGAGAACTACCTTAGTTTTTCATAAAATTGTAATTTAAAATCCTTTAACTTGAAAACAATCCGAAGGCTCATTAAAAATATCACTTACTCCGAAGTGCTCAGAGTTTACATCATTTCTTGTCGGTGGAGGGAGGGGGGTGGGGGTTTGGACAATATCCCCGTAGAGACGATCTCGTTGGGTACAATTGTTCTCTGAACTTTGTTTTCATTGTTGTGAAAATATCACGAAAATAAAATATTATGCAAAAGCAGATCTCTAAAAAGGTGTTTTCAAACGAAATATCTCCTTCACTGTCCGATGTTACAACCAGTCTGTACCGCTTATTCTTGGCACGCCACTCCTGGCTGGATTCCAACTGGTCATTGATTGGCTTTTTCAACAACAGCTTGTTGATTTTCTGGAAACTGAGCGACCTCCAATTGTTCTTAGAGTCGGAGAAGACCTCAAATTACTCGCGTCCTCAGATATTTAAAGAATACGTAAAAAATAATCTCCTGGAGGACTGGAAGTTTGACTCAGAATAACAAATGCGATTTCGTTTTAAATGGATATTTAAATTTCTTCAAAGTTTTATGGCAACCGGACAGTCCTCTGAAGGGACGGTGAACTTGAGCCAAGACAATGAAGACCTTAAGGTAAGTCTTTATTTAAGTCATCTTTCCAAATTATTGTGAGCTCACAAGGTATAAATAGAAGTAAAAATCATTTCCATGGTTTATTCCACCCCTTCACGAACAGCATCGCTAAAATGACTGGTTAGAAGTTTCCAGTTTGTCAACCCTCTACAGGGTTCGTACAGGTGGTGGGAAATATAGGTCTGGGAAATTGGAGTTTCGTTGCTAACAAAACTTTTAGAATAACTTTGAACGCTTTTTTCAGGGAACTGGAAACTAGTAGTGCTCTGACGTCAAGGTATTCCAAACGGTTACTGAGGTGGAAAGAGTGTGAAGATCGTAACTATACCAAAGAATTTACAGGCTAAATTTACAATGTTGCGAAACCTCGAGGAATTCGAGAAGAACTTATGTCATTTGTAATCTTTGTTGCTTTTGCTTATCACGATTGGCCCTGGAGAGCTATTTTTGGGAAATGGTCAAATAAGAAATTATTGATCAAATATTCTCAAACTGTGACTCAAGAGCCCTAAGGGGCGTCAATCAACCGACTCAAACTTGCAATGAATAACTCAGCTTAAAATTAAAACCCTTTTTATTGAAATTATTGTCAATGTCAGTATCTACGCAACTGCGCCCCCCCCTACCTCAACCCCTACCCTAACCAAACAACTATCAACTGATAACAAGTCAGGGCTAATTTTGGGTCAGGAGAGGGGTAGGTGCGCAGCTATTCAGATACTGACATTGATCCTAGCTGTCATCGTTTGATTTTCAGGAGGAGATACGTAAACTTTTATGGTCAGCTTCAACGGATGAAAACTGCCAACATGGAGGCTGGAAACAGGCATCTGGATCATGTTTTTCATAGATCTTTGATATCTACAAAAGAGTGAAGCAAGACACCACGTTAATTGCTTATTACCAAAGTCAATGTCTTAAATCAAACAGGAATCACCAATTACTGCCAACAGTTTTTTAACATTTTGCGATTGATTGTTACAGTCATTATTTGAGTATTGTTTTTCGTTGATTAAATAGCTGAAAATTCCATCGATCACCATGCATGCATCTCTTGTATAGAACGCAGCGAATAAAACTGATATAGACTTTTTTCTTATTCCTGTATGGTTGATCATTTTTGTTGAGTCGTCTGATATTGTGATTCTCTTCGAAAGGTTAGAGCAATTGTTCGCCGGTATTTTGGATTGATTTCCCTAGGCCTATAACCCAATTCTATTCTATTACAAAGCCATAGTCTCGGAATAAATGTAGGAGACTACCATGCATTACATCATGATAAGCTGAAATACGCACAAATACCGTAAATCGAATGTTTATTCGGCTATCAGCCGAGCGATCATCAACGAACACAAATTATTAGTTTTACGCTAAATCATTGTTGGTCAATGACTTTTATTTAAGTGGTGACTCCTAAAGCAGCCGTATTGTCTAGTGATAACTTCAAGAATGAAGTGTTTATTCCTCTTCTTCTTCTTTGCTATCGGTCTCACACTTGTCGTCCCAGGCCGTCTCATCGTTGGCTAGTTCAGGCATGTCATCGGTAAAGATGTTATCATCTTCTGTGTCGAGCGCGTTCGAAATCCTGCATGTTTTAAATAATTTCTTCATCATCTCCTCCGGAATTTCAGCCCAAGCCCGCTTTATCTAACAAAGGACCAGGTTTCGCAATGGGACCTTCTATTTTCCCGCTGGGCCCCAGCGGGTAAACTCAAAGGAAAGTCAGTCATCATCCAGGAAAGGTTCTGCCTCTGGATGTTGTCCTTACGCGGTTTGTTTGACACTCATCCAAAGGCAATTTTTTTTAGAGGTAAAGGGTTCTCCAGATCTTGTGGCCAGCGAGGCTTTGAGCTGTTCATCTCTGCACAACTGCTTGGCTTTCACCCACAGAAGTAATACACCAACGTCAATTCCTGTGCTCAATTGCTTTGACCTGTTTTGACAACATCTGGCCAATCAGAAGAGGCCGTTCCCACGACTTCGTGTTTCGTAGATTTCCTATTTTGGTATTGCGCAAGTTATGGTCGTTTAAAGGGCATGTAAACCCAAAAATACATGTTTTCTTATACTATGTAAAAAGTGGCGTAGAAAACGAATTTGAAATTAGTTTTGTCCAATTCGACTTATTTTAGGAGAAAATCGGCATTTTCAACTGAAATTCCATTTCCGTTAAAAACAATAGCGAGAAGTCGTGAGGTAAGCGGTGGAACCAAAATATTGCGCAACACATATTCCCCAGTAGAACTGGTGTGGGAGTTCGTGTAAGTAGCGGTAGTTCGGAAGATGTTTTTTCAGAAGATAGCGACTCGAATGCCTTAAGCTTAGTACATGACAGCGCTGGGGATAATCCAGAATCTTCAGGAGAGTCTGGGCCACGTCCTTAACAATATGAGCCGCGTAGGGTTCACCGAAGCGATCCGCACGAAGACAGTACAGAACATGTCGACAGCGATGCGACCGTCTCGGAAACTCAGACTGGTATTTAATTTACTTTGTGATTTATTTGTATATAACATGAAAATGCAATAAGGCGAGGGTACAATCTAAAGGAATGCAACAGAATTTTTTTTAACTTGAGCTTCTGAAAGTGTTTTATATAAAATTATCAAAGGTGCGAGTGTGGAACTTGTCAACCAATGCCGACAACTCATGAAAGTGTTTGTTGTACGGAAATCGGGAAATTGTGGCAAAATGGCCTGAAACTCAGATAAGTTGTATCACTGAGCATCCAGGTTTTCAGTCAATTTGCCTCGATTTCTGGGTGCTGAAGACGGCCAAGTACGTGTACAGGCAGCAGCAAAGCACAGATAATCACACCGGAAACGACTAAGCTAAATATTTTCTGTCTCATCTGTTTTGTTACATTTTGAGATCGATTTACTTGAGTTGTTTCTGCCATTGATTTAATAATACAGTACTAGAGCTAGTTGTTTTTCGCTTCTTTCCTGGCAGGAAATTTCGCTAAATTGCCTACAGATAGCTTGTTCGTTGGTGTTGGGGATATCTCGGCAAACACTTTAGGGTCGCTGTGCTATCTTGTGCGGTAAACAATATCCTTCATCTCAGAAGCATTTCCATCGATAAAAAGTTGTATCATGTACATTTTTCCTTGTGTGCCCTTCATAATTATCCAACCCTGTTTGTGTTTGCTTCGATTTGAAATATTGAAAAGATAGTTTTGCAAGCTGAAATCAGGATCTTTTAAGTTGTACTCAAAATGATGAATATTGTCCTACTGACCTTTGAATGCATTTTCACTGCTGTAAAAACCGTGACACAAATTCTTCTGCTGTTTCTCTGCAGGGTTTCTCAAAGGAAGCACCAAGTGGGGCTGGCTTGGATTTTCTTATAGAACATAAGGGTTGATTATGGGATCCTGTATAGAATTCTTTTTATCGAACCGACAAAATTCCAGATCACGTTATTACACACTGATATCAACGAATTCTCTTTCTTAAGGTTCAGACATGTCAGTGTCTTTTACGGGCTCAGCGCTGGCTCCCGAACAACTGGCTTCCCCATAATATTTCATTAGATGAGAAAAAAGATGTTTTTAGAGAACCAATAAAGCTATTGTTGTTTAATTAACAAAACGTTTTCATGTAAATCGATTTTGTACTTTCTCTGTTGACCTCTGACTTTTGAAGAGCTCAACTTCTTTCTCAGTTCGGTCGGCCACTTCCGAATCCTCGTCGTCTGCCGACTGTATGGGTCGTTTTTATACTTCCGAATAATTTGCTTCTGGTGAGGCCTGAATCGTCGGTACAGCACCAGGAAGAAAAATGACTGCCACAAACAACAGAACGTTCGAACGGCTCGACGAAATCGGCTATTTTCACTTGAACAAATTTCACAAATTGTCGCTTCAAATTTGCGTCATTTGGAAATATTTGCATTGTATGCCCAGTTTTGTTTGAATCAGTACAAAACTGGACGACACAACGCTTCACCATTACGAAAAAATTGAATATATTGAAGCAAACTGTAAGTAAAAAAATCATGACGAGACCAGCAAACAACGGCTGTAGGAAAGACTCCTTCGTGCCTCACGCGATTATAAAACGAGACTTTGGAGGGTCCACCCGCGACGTCACAGGAAAGATGGCGCCATTCAAGATGGCGAATGTTTCGAATTTGGAAGAGCTTTTACAAAGTGAAAATGGACTTTTGAGAATAAACGAATGGTACCTTTGGTGTACTTGATATATTTACAAAACATCTATGTGAAAAGAAAATGAACGTTTTTTGGGTTTACATGTCCTTTAACCTGATTTCAGAAAAATACTCATGCAATTAGATTTTAGTACAGTAAACGAAAATAACTTGACCTTAAGCGGATTGCCTGTCAAAGAGAGACTTTTATTTTTTCGAGCTCAATGAATTTTATTTCTGAATTCATGCATTGAAGTACATGTAACAGAAACACGTGTCACGCCACACACCTAAATTTACATGACGGCTGTTTTTTCTTCTGTAAGGAAATTACTTTAAGCGCTCCATGTTTGAAAATAAATTTAAGAAGTATGAAAGGAATACTTTGTTTTTAGCAGTTGACTTCCAGCATATAAACACGAATCGGTGTTATTAGATTTACTAATAACTGTCAGTGAATTGTGTCAATATCTACGAATTAGTACAATTAATTCAACGCCTTAGCTATGCAACTAAACATCTTTTAATATTTTTAGAGCCGAAAAACAAAACATTTGGCGTCACATATACCATTACACGATTTGATTCGGCTCATTAACCAGCAGCTTGTGGTTGCAAAGTGCTTAAATCAACTTTGCCTGTCACGCACTTCGGAGGAGTGTGATCACGTATATTTCACAGAGGCCAAAAATTTTTTCCGTCAGAAACATAGCACTATGATTGGGTTTTACTGTGATCACATGTTGATCGACATGTAACGTTGCCCATTGAAGATATTTACAATTAAAAAAGCCTAATTTTCGGTCTCTTAAAATTGTCGCGTGACATGGTTATTATGAAATGCTCTCGATTGGCGAGAATAATTTCAAATCAATCCAACTTCACACCTTCCATTGCTTAAGGTTCAACAAATTGTCAGATAAAATGAGATTAAAATCCGCCGCATTCTATTAGTGTGAGAGATCTTTTTTGGAAGTACAAAAGTTAGGGCTAATTTCGGGGTTTTATCCCTGGGATTTGATGTGAAAGCCCTTGTACCCCAGGGATTAACCGGGAGCCCAAACTACTTTGGACTCTCGACTTAATCATCTGTGAAAGTTTGAGAGAAATCGGTGAGATGGCATGTGTCACGCCTGCCTAGTCCCCTCTTGGACAGACTCTTAATACGCATTTAAATTCATAATAAATCTAGGAAATCAATTTCACAACACTGCTGCGCAACGACGTTTACTGTAATTATGTATTCAGATTTGCCAGTGAAAAATGCCCAAACAATTACCCTTAAATGACCATAACTTCCGCGATATAAAAATAGGAAATCTACGAAACACGTAGTCGTGCGAACGGCCGCTTCTGATTGGCCAGATCTTGCCAAAACAGGTCAAAGCAATTGAGCTTAAGCTAGATCATGCTTCTCTTTATTTTTACAGGAATTGCCGATGGCCGATTACTTTGCGGCGGCTGAGAGCCAAGCAGTTGTGCAGAGATGAACAGTTCAAAGCCTCGCTGGGTTGGTACCAGAAGTGGAAAAAGCGCCATTCTATCAGCCTTTGCACAAAGACAACACTTGCACAGCGACTTCCACAAGATCTGGAGGAGAAGACTACCCAATTCCAACGGTTAGTGATTTCCGCTCACATGGATAAAACTGCACAATTCGAGTCTTTACCGAGCAGAACCGTTTACCCCTAAAAAAAATTGCCTTTGGATAAGTGTCTCAACAAACCGTGTAAGGACAAAATCCAGAGGCAGAACCTCTCCTGGATGATGACTGACTTCCCTTTGAGTTTACCCCAGCGGGAAAATAGAAGGTACAGTTGCGAAACCTGGTCCTTCTTTAGATAAAGCGGGCTTGGGATGAACTTCCGGAAAAAATGATGAAGAAATCATTTAAAACATGCAGGACTTCGAACGCGCCCGACTACTCAGAAGATGATAACATCTGTACCGATGACATGCCTAAACTAGCCGACGATGAGATGGCCTGGGACGACAAGTTTGAGACCGATAACAAAAAAAAGAGGAATAAATACTTCATCCTTGAAGTTATCACTAAACAAAACGGCTGCGTTAGGAGTCACCACTTAAATAAAAGTTATTGATCAACAATGATTTAGCGCAAGACTAGCAATTTGTGTTCGTTGATGATCACTCGGCTGATAGCCGAATAAACATTCGATTTACGGTATTTGTGGGTAATTCAGCTTATCGTATAATGTATGGTAGTCTCCTACATTTATTCCGAGACTACGGCATAACACAGTTTACTTACTTTAAACTCAGGAAAGATACAAGGTATTTTTATTTCAAACTTAGCCACTAAGTCTTAATCAAGAGACCACAACCTCTTTGTCATGATGCAGTAATTCTGGTGAAACTCCAGTCAACCCTTAATGAACACTAACAGTTTTTCCTTGTATTTTTATACTGCGGGCCTTCAGCAGGTGATTACGCTAAACTTATGCTACTGAATATTTACATTAAGTTTTCCTTCTACCATTCTGTTTTAAACTTTATCAAACGTTTACACATGCACAGACGTCTGACCACTGTGTTTTGACACTTACAGGTTGCTACTACGTATCATCTTCAAGATCCCCTTTGGACTCTTGTGAACAGCAGAGCTATTGTTTGAGTAACCATCGTACAACGTCATGTGGTATATGCATGCGATCCATAGTGGCGCCTACCTGGAAATTCAAATGTCTTTTCCAGGTTCTTAACATTTTGGTTATATAGAACATTTTCATTAGTGTTATTTTCAGTAGTTTCACGTGCAATATAAGTAAATAAATTATTATTATTATTATTATCATTATTATTATTAGTTTCACGGCAATTTTTGAAAACAGTAGCGTTTTGCTCTGGTCAGAGTGTTATAACCATGATCAAAAAGTTACAGTAAATAAACAGGAACAAAAAATCAAATGCCGGCAGTGAATGGAAAATGAAGAGGGTGATCGCTGACAAGCCGATGAAAGCAGCTTTGTAGGCTCGCTTCCTTCTGGTACAAGTGCGGAGCATCTCTTCTGCCAACTCTGGTGTCCAGTCTTTTGTAGGATTCAGGATATCTTTAACTTTTTCGAGTTTCTTGGGTTCACCAGACTCGACGATGCGAGAGTGCTGTGGAGGAAAGTCTGTTGAGAGAGAGGAAGGAAAGATTTAGAAACTGAAAAACAGGCTCTATATTATATTTGCAGGTAACATTGATAACCCTGAATGGCAGTTGTAGTATTGGAAAGCGCAAGTTAGATAGTATGCTGAGCTAATAAAGGTGGTAAGGGGGGGGAGAGGGGGGGAGGGGGAGAGAGCTTTTAAGAGCTTTTACTCTGAATCCCAATACCTGGTTAACAAAAAAAAAAAGAGGAAAACAAGGCTTTTCATTTGTAGCATGAATATAACACAATCAACATAAGCAACTGAGGAGATATTTACTCCTCACCAACCTTCCGTAGCATCAATGTAGTCCTCATCCTCAGGCTCAACAACATCATCCACAGGATAAGTAGCTCGGTTTGTTACTAAAACTTCACCTTTCTTTCCTATAAAATAAAATGATACAAAAAGAAAATCTCAATTAAGATTTTTAGAATGTGTTTTAGTATTTGCGCAAAAGCTTAATACAACTACAAATCATAGCCAATAAAATATCAAAAGAGCCACCCGTGAGAGACGCCAAACGCGGCAAAACGCGCGCGATTCAGTTAAATGCACTAGCTTCCAAAGCCAATTATCACAGCATGAAATTATAAATTTACGAATCTGTAAATATGCCGTAAAGTAAGCGAGGAGATCCTCTTTACGCGTCTTTACGAACTTCTTTACACTTTCGTAAAGATTGTCTTTATGCATTGAAAACGATAGTACGTAAAGATCAGGGAGAAACTAAAAACGCTATCTTTACGTGCCTTTTAAAAAGTCGTATAGAGGATATTTACGATATTTTTACAGCGACCGTATTATTATTATTACTATTAAAGACCTGTAAAGTGTTAAAAGCGAAACTGGTCAAAATACCACGGTAATTCTACGGAAAATGGATGAGCCATAATTATTTCACTTCTTTGAGTATTTCTCCAAATAGAAAGTGCTTGATTATATCCATCTTATTCCTTATCCTTTACAAACATTCAATATCCTTTACGCAGTCTTTACGCTTTCTCCGCATTTACGTATCTTTACTGAACGCGGAACTTGTCCGTAAAGAAGAGGCTTTATATTTACGTTCTTTACGCAAGAGTTAAAGATGCGTAAATTTGCGATTTCATGCTGTGATTGTAACAATACAAAACTGCATGAATTCAGAAGTGCATCCGACGCCGTTTTTGTTATCATATATTATCATAGTTGTACCCTTCCAATAAAAATGGCGCCGAAGCCACGTGCGACGTATACTCTCACACTAAATTGCAAATGAACTATTTGTAACAGAGTATTGCGTCTAAAATTGATGGAACTCACTTTGCCTCGCATTTCTCATCTTTTCGATGTACGATCTTCCATTGGAGACTTTGTCCTCAATTGCTTCACACAAAGCTTTAAGTAAGGGGACTACTACTTTCCCTTCGTTTTCCAAATCTGCAAAGCAAGCATTTCATTTTGTATCTATCCAGACGCTGTATGTTATCAATTACAAATAAAACTGACCAAAAGCAGCTTCCTGTTTCTTCTTCCTCTCCCCCATTCCGCCCTTTCTCCACTTAATCCGGGCTTTCAAAACTATTGTCTCATTCACACTTACGTAAAATAAAATCATATCCTCATCTCACCTGAAAAATGTAACTCCTCCTCTTTCTCTCTGTGTTTTATATCTTTACACACTGTAATCAAAAGAATCTCAAATGGCTGTGTTACTAGTTTTAGGGATGAGTTACTTAACAAAAACTTCCCCACTGAAGGATATCATTTTCTTACATCGAGCAGCATATGCCTCTTTTCCTATCAATAGAACGTAAGCTTAGTCGAGAGAACATAAGCTCCTGTTTTCTTAATCCTGAGCCAACCTAATAACTCAGATTGAGTGCATGAACGTTCGGTTTCAGAATCATTCAAGAACTGCAGTTTTAATTTGGAACAACTAAGCTGTTCTTTCCGTCTGCCAGGGCCTGTAATTTCGACTTTTGAACAGCCGCATTTTCACGTCATTGATTTAGTCAGCCAAATAATTGTGCGACGATCAATTATCGCATAAAGAATAAAAACACCCTTTTTTTAAACCACTGAAAATCGTAAGGTTGCAATCAAGTAAGTCCTGCATTACAAATTGCCTATGACGTCACTATTTCGACGTAAAATAATTATTCTTTGCAAAGGTAAGGGAATCATGAATTTCGGAACCACAATATCTCACCAAATGATAAACGTTCAAAATCGGCCAGCAGTAACAAATCTTCTACGTACCACAACATCTTATGGATCCGTGAAGATGCTCATACAAAGGGGAATGTTTTGACTGCAGAGCATGCATCAAATACCAATACGTGTGAGGGTCTTTTTGCTCCACAACAGCGAGTAGCTCCGTCACTTTTCTCTCCATAGTTGTAAACAGGTAATTGTTGAAAATTCTTTCGTGATCTTGCGTGTCGAACTTGTGATGCGCCCTCATAAATCGCACGATATAGAACAATTGATCTTCGTTTCGAATCATCTCTGGGAATCGAATCAAAAACTCATCCAGGCCTTCTCGAGAAATTTGAAGGTATTTTTCGATGCGTTTCGACGCTCCTGGACTAAACTGGTTTTCGTCGTGCAGGAATCGTTCGCAATCCTCCAGGTTGAAATGATTCGGCATGGCTTAGTACGATTGTCTCTACTTCAGTGTTCTACAGTTGTGCTATCTGCTTTTCGCAGAAGTTCCCACTTGCGTTGCTAAGAATTCCGCACGCGCTGGTTCAGTAATCTAGATCTTGGACTATATACTTTCTCTTGATTCAGGCTTTATTGACGACAATTCAGCATTACACGTTCCGTTCTGCGATCTATCTACTCTATTACAATCTAATCCTAGGGTTACGAAAATGTCACATTTATTAGCTGAGGAAATCCACACCCGGATTCCGTGTCGGATTTAAGATTCACTTACGTTCTATAACGATTCGTTGGCATTAATTTTATACTAAACATGGCTTTTCTTGACAATCATGCTGCTAAGTTTCTTCCGGCTTAAAAGCCCTGCAAATACTTAGTTTCATTTATCACTGCTCGCAGAACTAACTTGATTACCCTATGCCGCTCCCAATTACATGTTACTTCTGATATTGTGATTCTCTTCTAAAGGTTAGAGCAATTGTTCGCCGGTATTTTGGATTGATTTCCCTAGGCCTATAACCCCATTCTGTTCTAAAACAAAGCCGTAGTCTCGAGATCTATCTACTCTATGATAATCTAATCCTAGGGTTACAAAAATGTTGCATTTATTAGTTAAGGAATTCCACACCCAGATACGTAATTCCGCGTCGGATTCAAGATTGGCTCAAGTTCTACAACCATTCGTGGACACTAATCGGCTTTTCTTGACAATCATGTTGCTAAGTCGCAACACTGCTACGCAACGACTTTCGCTGTAATTATGTACTCAGCTTTGTCAGAAAAATTCCCAAACAATTACCTTAAACGACCATAACTTCCGCAATACCAAAATCAGCGGCCGTAATTTAAATTCCATCTATAGCAAAATCGCATTTGTTATTCTGAGTCAAACTTCCAGTCCTCCAGGAGATTTTTTACGTTTTCTTTAAATGTCTGAGGACGCGAGTAATGTGAGGTCTTCTCCGACTCTAAGAACAATTGCAGGTCGCTCAGTTTCCAGAAAGCCAACAAGCTGTTGTTGAAAAAGCCAATCAAAATGCCCAGTTGGAATCCAGCCAGGAGTGGCGTGAAAAGATTAAGCGGTACAGGCTGGTTGTAATATCGGACAGTGAAGGAGATATGTTGTCTGAAAACACCATTTTAGAGGTCTGCTGTTGAGTAATATTTTATTTTCGTGATATTTTAACAAAAGAGTGTAGATCCATATGAAACCCACACGTAATTTTTTTTTAACTCTGGCAAAGCCTTATGTGGCTATTACTTCTGACGACCTCTTTCCTCTTTTTTTCTGGATCCACATCTTAATACACCGGGCCGTTACAAAACAGGGCACGACGTGATGCGTGATAGCATTGAGGGGAAAAAAAGGAAAGGAGGCCTGGAACTGACGGCTACGCAATCCATACATCCTCCGTGGGAAGTGGATAGTGAAAAGTATAACTGACATTGAGAAAAGGTTCGGTAAAATTCTATGGGGCGTCAAAACTATAATTCTCCGACCCCCCTAGACAACAAATGATGACCGGTCCGCCCGAGCTAATATTATTTAGCATGCAATATTTCTTAATTTGAAGGGAAAGAACACAAGTAATTCAAAATATCAGTTTATAACAGAGTTTATTTACTTTAAACTCAGGAAAGATACAAGGTATTTTTATTTCAAACTTCGCCACTTTGGTTATATGAGACATTTTCATTAGTTTCACGGCAATTTCTGAAAACAGTACAGTTTTGCTTTGATCAAAGGGTTATAACCATGATCAAAAAGTTGAAGTAAATAAACAGGAACAAAAAATTAGATGCCGAAAATGAATGGAAAATGAAGAGGGTGATCGCTGACAAGCCGATGAAAGCAGCTTTTTAGGCTCGTTTCCTCCTGGTACGAGTGCGTAGCATCTGTTCCAGTGTCCAGTCTTTTGTAGAATTCAAACTATCTTTAACTTTTTCGAGTTTCTTGGGTTCACTAGTTTCGACGATGTGGGAGTGCTGTGGAGGAAAGTCTGTTGAGAGAGAAGAGGGAAAGATTTAGAAACTGAAAAATAGGCTCTATGTGTGTTTCAGGTTTCAGGTGTGTAGTGTTTGTTCCTGTTTGGATAAATACTTTGGCTATTATATAATCTTTATTCTATTGATTAGCACACCTTTGACCGCAGTCATGTGATTATGCTAATATATCAATGTGTGTAATTAACTTCATGACATTCTAAGAAAGCAGTTGTGTAGAGCACTTGGTCTGTGCACGCTTTACTCTATAGTAGTACATGACGAACCCTAATACGCAACAACTGGCGACGAGGATGACCACTCTTGGAACGATTGAGTTCTTTAACCCCAGTTTAGAAGACTGGAACGCAAATTACGAACGTTTTGATCAATACGTGATCACGAACGAAATCAAAGAAGAAAAGAAGATCATGGCCACGTTCCTGACTTCAATAGGCAGCAAGACCTACAACGTCTTGAGAGATTTAATAACCCCGGTGAAGCCATCTAGCCTAAAGCTTACAGATGGTTACGCCTATGGATCACGTTCAAATCAAGGTGAGAGAAGACAACCAGTTCGCTACGTGGAGGACGACATCCTTGAAAAAGAGCCAAATGACGACTTCAAACTATTTCACATTCATCAGGAATAGCCTGAATCATCCATCATGGTTCCTGTAAAGGTGAATGGTGTAAGCTTTTCAATGGAGTTGGACACTGGTGCGTCAGTTTCAATCATGTCCGAGGATGCATGGAGAAGATGGTTCCCGAAAGTTCCATTAGAGGAGTCCCAAATCAAGTTGAAGACTTACACAGGAGAAGCCCTCGAAATTATTGGACAAACTAAAACTAAATTATTCGTCAAGCCCGAATCAAAACCGAAGTTTTTCAAACCGCGCCAAGTTCAATATGCTTTAAAAGGAGCCATCGAACAAGAATTAGATCGCCTAGAAAATATGGGAGTAATCGAAAAGGTGCGTTACTCAGCGTGGGCGGCACTGATAGTTCCTGTCGTTCAACTGGATAATTCAATTAGAGTTTGTGGGGATTATAGAGTCACCGTCAATTCCGTTTTGGAGGTTGACCAACACCCGTCGCAAAACCCCGAAGAGTTATTTGTTGAATTAGGGGGGGAGAAAAATTCAGTAAGCTAGATTTATCCAGGGCTTACCAACAAATTCTTTTGGATGAGGATTCTATGGAGTATGTAACCATAAATACTCACAAGGGTTTTTATAGACCCACTCGTTTACCTTTTGGAGTATCCTCCGCGTCAGCTATCTTTCAATCAAAAATTGAGCAAGTACTCCAGGGTATACCAATGGTCGTTTGTGGGGCGGACGATATTTTAATATCGGGGGAAAATGATCAAGAGCATTTAATTCATCCGAATGAAGTTTTAGCGAGGTTGGAACGCGCTGGCTCGAGGTTAAAACTTAGCAAATACAAATTCATGCAGCCAACCGTTGAATTTCCAGGTTATCGAATAGATGCACAAGGAATACATGCGATCGAGAAAAAAGTCGAAGCCATAAGAAAAGCGCCCGCACCCATAAATCAGCATCAGTTGAGGTCATTCCTCGGAATGATTAATTATTATTCAAAATTCATCGGTAACTATTCGACTATCTATGGCATAACACACCGTTCAAAATTCAGTCAGGGTATTTTCCCTATCGAAAAATTAATTTTCGTGAAGGAAATCAATTAACAGGGTCCGTTATTGTTGGCCTCTTTCAGAGATTATCTGTTACGCCACAGCTATTGTCTTGTCTATCTTATTTATAAGTTTAACACAACGTCAAAAGTCGTCAGCCTATGATTTAAATCTGGCTCAAGCGATTTTAAAAAGGCAATGGAACTCTTTTAGCCTAACGTATAGTTTGACCATCTCAACGAAACTGTCTCTTTATTTCAAAAAGAAGAATAAATAAACCATGTTTATGCTTAGGATGCAGTGTTTTCACGTGCGCTGTATTTTTTTCTTTTCTCGCTAACGTCATACTCGCCTAGCTATAGTTACGTGGAAATATATATATATGTTATCTGAGGATTCTTTGTCGGTCACACAAATGTTATTCCTAGCTAATTTGGAAATTCACAACATACTATTTCGCTGGTTCAGAAATATTCACTCTAACGATGAGGACGGTCATAGAAAAAGGTTTCATTTTGATGTACATCAGTCTGAGAGAACACTGCATCGCAGTCACTCAACTTAAGGTAACAATAATCATCTCTGGGAATCGAATCAAAAACTCGTCCAGGCCTTCTCGAGAAATTTTAAGGTATTTTTCGATGCGTTTTGACGCTCCTGGACTAAACTGGTTTTCGTCGTGCAGGAATCGTTCGCAATCCACCAGGTTGAAATGATTCGGCATGGCTTAGTACGATTGTCTTTACTTCAGTGTTCTACAGTTATGCTATCTGCTTTTCGCAGAAGTTCCCACTTGCGTTGCTGAGAATTCCGCACACGCTGGTTCAGTAATCTAGATCTTGGACTGTATACTTTCTCTTGATTCAGGCTTTATTGACGACAATTCAGCATTACACGTTCCGTTCTGCGATCTATCTACTCTATAACAATCTAATCCTAGGGTTACGAAAATGTCACATTTATTAGCTCAGGAAACCCTACCCGGATTCCGTGTCGGATTTAAGATTCACTTACGTTCTACAATGATTCGTAGGCACTGATTTCCTATTAAACATGGCTTTTCTTGACTATCATGCTGCTAAGTTTCTTCCGGCTTAAAAGCCCTGCAAATACCTAGTTTCATACATCACTGCTCGCACAACTAACTTGATTACCCTATGCCGCTCCCAATTACATGTTACTTCTGATATTGTGATTCTCTTCTAAAGGTGAGAGCAATTGTTCGCCGGTATTTTGGATTGATTTCCCTAGGCTTATAACCCCATTCTGTTCTAAAACAAAGCCGTAGTCTCGGAATAATGTTACTTGTGCTTTAACGGTAACGAAATTACAACTCACTAAAT